AGTCTCTTTCTTGATCACATTATTGTTCTCAAATACAAGGTCTCTATAAACAATGATCTTTTGTCTTATACTCATCAGTAAACTCTCTCCTTTTGACTTTCAGTGTATTGTGTTGTACATTTTCTCTTCCAAGAGGCATTTGGTCATTCAGTAAATATTTCTGAGCTCCCGTAATGACTGTGTAAATGATTCAAACATATTCCCTATCCTTAATGAGAATGGTCCAGCAGTGCCTTGGAAATGCCTTGGAAATGCAAGCATTCATTGTCTATACGACTGAATCACATGCCTGTTTCACAAGTAAGAAAATTAAGATCTAGAGAATGGTGATCTGCATACAGATCAAAGAATAAAGAAAAAGCTGGGCATTGGTGGCTGTCTATAATCCTAGCTACTCAGGAGGCTGAGATCTGAGAATCGCCGTTCAAAGCCAGCTCAGGCAGGAAAGTCTGTGGGACTCTTATCTCCAATTAATCACCAGAAAATGGGAAGTGATGTTGTGGCTCAAGTGGAGCGCTTGCCTTGAACTGAAGAGCTCAGGGATAGCGCCCAGGCCCAGAGTTCAAGCCCCACAACTGACCAAAAAAAAGAAGAAGCAGGCTCCCTGAATTTCATGGGAGTACTCTGACTGCCACTAAAAAGAAATGTGGAGATTATATCTTCTCATTCTGCTGATCAAGTCAGGTATGGAGAGGAAAATCAAGTACCCACCCTAGTGTTCAACTTCCCATCTGTCTGGTTAGAGAAAGGGAGAGACCTGGGGCCTTAGGTGCAGTAGGGCATGCTGGATCTCACCAGGACAGTATGATATCTGTAAGTGTCTCAGCTGTGGTGAAGAACGCAAAGACGATCCAGTACATCATCCATTTCACCTGGGGAACAAAGGACGGCATTTACTAGGGCTGGGCCAATGGGCCACAACTCCCAAGACCCCCAATCTGCTAGCTCCTTATTTCACAGGGCTGGGGGTAGGAAAACCCAAGACCCCATCTCTGTCTGTTGACCACCTTGGAGGTGCTGGGGGGGAGGGAGAAGGAAATACCCTAGAATCTCCTTTGCTTACTGGTTTACAATGTAGCACAAAATCACCCCCATCTGTATTGTAACCACCATCCACTATCTGTGCCATTTGGTTGGGTAGGGGGTACAGGCCATTCACTCACATATTCCTTCACATTTTTGGTCTTCACGGCCTTGTAGGATGAGTAGGCTGGGTACAGGGTGCCAAAGATGAGCCTAGGAAGGCAAGCATGGTTAACCTGGCCCCTCTCACGTCCAGCTCTGTACCAGTCACCGGATAGTGAGAGGAAAAGGGATAGAATTCCAGAGAGCCACATCAGCTGGATTGATGAACTGTGGTTAGGGGTTCAGGCCAAAGCAGTGAAGACTCAGGAAGGAGATATCCTTGTATGGAGGCTGTGGTCAGCGAGGGGGATGCCACTCTCCCTCTATTGTCCACGTTAGTCCTTCACACACACACACACACACACACACACACACACACACATGTCAGAAGGTCCAATGTGGTTCCCTGAGCCATGATCCCTGGTTATAGAGAACCATGTCATGGGGAACAAGGGTCTGGTCCTTCTTGGCCTCATACCCATTCAACCCATGTATTCTTATTCTCCACTTCCTTGTCTCAGAGCCAGGCTGGGTAAGGCCAGCCCTGCAAGGGAACCTGACACCACCTAAGAGGGCACTCAACCTGGCAATCAAGAGCACTACTGTGGCCCTGGGGACTTGGGGACCAGAGGGCACAGGGGCAGGAGGCCCTGTGACGGGCAAATTTATTCTTCCATGTCAACACTCCCAGGACCAGGCTCAGAGGAGGGTCCTGGGCTCAAAGCCCTGGCTGGGGATTCCATTACAGACCACAGATAGGCCATGGGTGAGGAAAGGAGAGATGCCCCTGAAGGAGTGTGTCTATTCCAGACAGAAGCAGCTGACTTGAAGGCCACAGGGAGGTACTGAATGAGGCCCCTAGTTTCTCTATGTGGTAGGGAAGGGAAAAAGACTCCTATAGGACTAAAGGAAACCAGGACACAAGCCCTTACTGCAATGAGTGGAAGAAGACAGCAGGGAGGAGCTGTTGGGATGGGAGTCCCAGGAGGTGGAGGTTTAAGGGGCTGAGTCCTAAGCTAGACCAGTGATTGGTCCTAAAACTCAGTAGGTACCCACCAGGCTCAGGCCCTTCCCAACAGTGCTGCGTGGTGGAGGCAGGACACTTTCAAACTGGCCTGTGTAGAGGGAGTGAGTTGCGGGGCAGACCCCTCGAGGACACAGTCTAAGGTTGTGAGTGCACTCCTGGAGCCTGGGGAGGGGCCGGGGATACAGCTCCACACTTCGCTGCTCACGATTGAAGGCGGCCAAGCATACTCTCATCTCAGGCTGAGCACAGACACCGTTCCTAGTTGCCGCTCACACTTTGTCCTCCCGCCATCTCTGCTTCCCAAGGCCCGGATTGCCTACCTGGGGGTGGGGTGGGGGTGGGGGTCTCAGGGCGGGTGTCCTCAGCTTCGGTCTCCTGACAGTTGGTGGACACAGGAGGAGGGCTGGAGCCTCGGTGGAGGCCCGCGGAATGGGCCGCGGCTCTGAACTAGGGAATGATGACGACCAGGCCCTATCTGGCTCCTGACTCTTCGAATCCCTTTCCCCCAGGGAGAGGAGGGGGGCTGCTCGGCTGGGCGGCTTCCCCCGCATCCCCGGTCGGCCATGTGGGGGAGGAGGCGCGCTCACCTGCCCACTCCCCGGCGAGGGGCGGTGGCGGAGGGGAGGGGAGCGGGGCAGTTGAGAATAACCGGCGCTATTAGAAATACTGCGGGAACCTGGGCCTGACATGCTCCCCCGACACGGTCTCTGGGCGTGGAGGTGATCGCAGGCTGCAGCCGCAGGGGCCCCCCGGCCTGACCCCCCGTCCCCCCCGCCCCGCCCGCCCGCCTCCGCACTCACACCACCAGGCGAGAGATGATCCAGGAGACCATGGCGGGGCCAGGCGCAGCGCCGGCGGGGACGGCCGCGCCAAGGATGCAGCTGCCCAAGGCCGAAGAGGCGCCGGCAGCAGGAGCTGCAGTAGCCGCAGCAGCCGCCGCGGGGGCAGCGGAGCGCCGAGCGGCCGCCGTTAAAGGGGAGGTCTCCGCAGTAGCGGCGGGCTGTGGGCGGTGGCGGTTCTTAAAGGGGAGGTCGCCACAGCGGCGCCCCCCCCCCCCTTCCCCCAGCACCTGCTGTGCTGGAGCATGCGTCTTCATCCTCCATGTCCCGCCTTCATCCTCCTTGTCTGGCCTTAATCTAATTGCTTGTTCGCCTTCCTTGGGTTTGCAAGCACTGGGCAGAGGACCTTGGTTCCACTGTGACATCAGCCCTAGCTTATCTCCTGACCACCTCAGGTTGAAATCTTAAATATCCCATGAGGATATATAACAGCTATAAGCCAAGAGCTTGTATTATTTCACTGAATACTAAAGACTTCACTATAAGGGAGAAATGATCATTTTGAAGAGAAGGAAATAGGAATTTAAGGAGGGTCAACAATTTGCCGAGGGTCACAAAACCTAAGTCATGATGCTAAGATATGAACCTAGGAACATGCCATAACTAGCAGTCTCTTCTCCCATTTCACGCCCTGTAGACATCCACCTGAGCTCCATACGGCACCTGTCCATCCCTTCTCTTCTCTACAGTCATTAACTCCCAGCTGAAAGAATTCCCAGGTGAATCTGATCTACTTAAGGATGTAAGTTTTGCAGGGGAACAGGGCCGGGGCTGGGAGAGGGGTCCAAGACCCAGGTCAGTGTTAAATCCAAGGGCCCTAGTTCTACCCTCATTAGCAAGCACCAGTGGCAGTGAATGTCCTAATTCTGAAGACATTTATATCCAGAATGTAGGCTAGCTTGCCTCCTGACTCTGACCAAAGCAACCAAGTTCCAAAGCACCCCTTCCCCCACTGCTCTCCTTTTCCGTCCCATTTTGAAGCTTCCCTAAGTCTCTATCCTTTATGTTGAGGTGTAAACCATCTAGTGACCACAGCATCAACTTGTCCTATCCAGGCTGAAAGGACATGCTTAGAGTGCTGCACTTTCAAAGAGTTATAGTCCTATTCAAACTCAGCATCCTTGAACCACACAATGGCCTATTTCTAGTCTGATAATGGTATTTCCAGACTAAAGTATCTAACAGCAGGTTCCACAGAAAATGCCTTTGACAACCCCTCTTGCTATTCTTTGCAACTTCCTCTCCAAAAGGCTTCATTTAATTGAAATGCAGTCTGTTCTCAAGATACTTTAATTTTGCTTGATTTACAGAAATAATTGCAGTTGAGTCTTCTTCCACCATTTCCAAGTGCCACATATTTCATAAATGGGCAGCCAGGCCTCTTCCTTTAATTTTCATTTATTTTTGTATTGGTACTGGGGCTTGACCTTAGGGCCTCACTCTTGCTTAGCTTTTTCACACAAGGCTGGCATTCTACCATTTGAGCCACACTACCACTTCCAGCTTTTTACTGATTAACTGGAAAGTTTCAGGGATTTTTCTGTGTGGGCTGGCTTTGAACTGAAGTCTTTAGATCTCAGCCTCTTGAGTAGCTAGAATTAGAGGTGTGAGCCACCACACTCAGCAGCCAGCCTTCCTACATTTGGGAAGGAATTCTGATTGCTCAAAATCTTGCTCAGGCTTTACACTAGTGGCCTTGCCCTTCCTAGACTCTGCCGTATTAGCAAGGCAGGATTCTACTTCTCCTGTTCCACTCACAGAGCATAAACTGTGGGGATGTCCATCTTTCCACCCAGTAACTCACGTAGTTCTTTGTCTTAAACCCACAAACCACACCTGATACTTCACCCTGAAACTTTCTCCTAATTGCACAGTGTAGGAAACCAAAAGAAAGGATAGGGAACACAAAAATAAAGACCTGGATAGAAATCCCCCACCTCTAATTCAGACTTCAAACATGGCCTTGACTTTGGAAAGGTTGGAACAGGAAGAATTGAGTCCACTACAAATAGATTTGTTAGATTTTTAATAAGAACATGGAAATCCCAATCAGCCCTTCAACAAAATTAAAATACAGAAAGTGAAATTAAATTCTACAGTAAATGACTTTTATTTTTTAAAAAAGTAACTGTGAACATATAAACAAGCCTTCCTGTAGGGCACTACAGTACAGCTGGAAAGAGATACATTTTCCAATGTACCTATGGGCCAATGAGTTCCATCATTTTCAAATAAATTCTTAATAAAAACTTCACTGAGTTGGAAAGTTTTGTTGAAAATATTTCTGGACAAAACCCCAAAAAACAAAACAAAAAAAACCCTCATGTTGAAAATCAAACTTTCCGTCTCATTTTGAAACATACAACGAGTCCCAAGGGAAAGCTGGTAATTGGTGAAAATGGTTCCTGGAGAGACCAGTGTGTGCATACAGGGAACACACCACAGCTCAGACATGACGAAGTTCTTTCTCAGATGACTGTTCCCTCAATGTAAGACTGAGAGGGAAGAGTAGAAACTAAAAGAACCCTAAAAGCCAATTCTTCTAAATTCTGCTTTGGCTGATTTTGTGCTATAATGGGCAGCTGATTTCTAAAAATCTTATTTCTTCAAAGAATTTTATCGAAAGGAAGACTAAATGTAATGTGCCTTTCCTCATAATCCAGGAAAACAACTGTGGTATTTCAAAAATTCTAAAAATATCTACTTTCATGAAATAGTAACTATTTCACTACAAACCTATTTTTCACTAAATACACACATTTCCTCATCCTGGAGCCTCCTGGGAAAGCAGTGGGCTCTCCCCGGGTCCTGTAAGACTCCAGTGTTTATGGAGAGTGTGGGGGATGGCTGCACCCCAGTTCCTGGGATGGGCCATGTCAGAGGTCACGTGCAGAGACACTGTCAGGCTTCACCCATACTTGTACCAGTTATGTCTATCTTCAAACACATTCCCACTTAACTAGGCACAAGAGGAACAGGAAAGAGAAGTGCCACATTCCCAGTTTCCTTGATCTCAAATCAGGAGAATGTGCGGGAAAGCCCATCAATGTTCAAGGTAATCTGGATTGCCAAAGGCCGGGGGACAGGGAGGTGGCACCCTCAGTTTGAAGTCTGAAACTGTGTGTGTGTGAACAGTGCAACTTTCCTGTGACAACCTTCAGTGTTGAGGCAGCATAGAAAGAGTGGCTGGAGAGTTTGTAATACTGACCACACTGTGGCTCCGGGTGAAGGGCCTCTGCTCCTGCAGAGAACCTTGGCGTTCCCTGTAAGTGTTGTGAGTGAAAGTACTGCTTCAGTGGAGAGCTTGAATTCTCCATGCCTAAGACCTTGCCAGTTTGGATTCATGTGCCTTGAGGGTACCAACAGCATCTTTCACTGCATGGTAAATGATGTTCTTCACCTAGGGAGCAATCAGCACTGTTAGTTCGTGGCAACACCATGCTGTGTTCTACAAATATAAATGTATGTTCTGCCCTGACTCTTGACCTAGTGGATAACGAGGAAACCCTTCAAATGACTATCATGTATAGTTTATATTTAAGGAAGACTGAAATCATTGAAAGGGTATATAATCACCATAATTTATATGCTTACTATGGGTTGGGCACTGCTATTAAGTTATTTATGTGGATTTTCATTTAATCTTTGCTATAATCCTACAAGGTAGAATTTACATGAGAACAAAGGAAATAAAGTTTCCATACTAAGAACCTTACCAGGAACCAGTGGTTCACAACTGTAATCCTACCTACTCAGAAGGCTGAGATCTGAGGACTGTGATTCAAAGCCAGTCAGGCAAAAAAGTCCATGACACTTTGATCTCCAATTAACCAGCAAAAAACCAGAAGTGGAGGTATGGCTCAAGTGGTAGAATGCCAGCCTTGAGTAAAAAAGCACAGGGAGAAGTGGCGCTGTGGCTCAAGCAGTAGAGCGCCTGCCTTGAGCTGAAGAGCTGAGGGACAGCACTCAGACCCAGAGTTCAAGCCCCACCACTGACCAAAAAAAAAAGAACTAGTTAGATGTTTCCAATAGGAAGACTTCATGTTCCCAGACATGGTTTCTCTGAGTTATTTCTCCTCCAGTTAGAACTCTAAAGAATACCCTTGGAGAGAATGTACCAACATGAGGGCTGGGAAGATGGCTCAGTGGTAGAGCGCTTGCCTTGCATGCATGAGGCCCTGGGTTCGATTCCTCAGCACCACATAAGCAGAAAAAGCCAGAAGTGGCGCTGTGGCTCAAGTGGTAGAGTGCTAGCCTTGAGCTGAAGAGCACAGGGATAGCACCTAGGCCCAGAGTTCAGGCCTCACAACTGACAACAACAACAACAACAACAACAAAAAACCAAAAAACAACATGTTATAAAGGGTTATTTACCTGCAGTTTATCCTCATGATTGGTATGAGTATTGGAGAGATGCCTGAATTCCTGAGTCAGGCGAAAACAGTGCTTCACGTGTTCTGGAGATACAAAGTCTTCTGCTACTTTTATGCAACTATACAGATTATGAACCTGGGATCGAGGGGAATACAGAGGGAAAACATGAGTCATCAGATCATGGAAATATACATGATAGCTGGGTATAATGGCTCAAACCTGTAATCCTAGTTACTTAGGAGGCAGAGACTAGGAGATCTTGGTGACATGTCACCTGCATCCCACTGATGTGGGAAGCACAAAATGGCTAGTGTAGTAGTATACACTCACCATGTCAGTGAATAAGGGGAGCATAAGTAGGAAGATTACAGCCCATATCATTCCAGGCATAAAGTGATATCCTACTTGGAAAAGAACCAGCACTCCAGCAACTTACGCCTATAATTCTACTATTCAGGAGACTGAGATCTGAGGGTCATGATTCAAAGTCAGATTGGGCAGGAAAATCCTTGAGACTTCTATTGTCAATTTTAACCACTAAAAAGCCAGAAGTGGAGCTGTAGCTCAAGTGGTAGAGCACTAACCTTGAGCAAAAAAGCTCACAGGCCCTGAGTTCAAGCCACTGGCCACAGACAGAGACACAAAACCAAATGCAAAAAAAGGGCTGGATGTATAGGACAAGTGGTAGAACGCCTGCCTAGTAAACACAAGTGGTTCTTGCCTTTGAGTTCAATCCCTAATATTGCAATAAAAATAAAAATTAGCAGACAAACCAAATCCTATTATTATTATCATTACCATCATCATCATCATTATTTTTTTGTTGGTCATGGGGCTTGAACTCTGGGCGCTGTCCCTCAGCTCTTCAGCTCAAGGCTAGCACTCTACCATTTGAATCACAGCATCACTTCCAGTTTTCTGGTGGTTTATTGGAGATAAGAGTTTCATGTACTTTTCTGCCTGGGCTGGCTTTGAACCACGATCCTCAGAGCTCAGTCTCCTGAGTAGCTAGAGTTATAGGCGTGAGCCACCAACACCCGGCTATTATTATTAATATTTTTAATGTGTGTGTACATGTATGTGGTACTGGGCATTGAACTTAGGCCTCTTATTTGACTCTACCACTTGAGTCATATCCCCAGTCCTTTTGCTTTTAGTGTATTTTTGTGCTTCTGTCCAGACTAGAACTGGACTGATTCTTTTACTTTGCACTGGATCACAGGTATCTACCACCATGCCCAGGTTTGCTTGTTTGTTTGTTTGTTTTATCCCCTACATTGAACTCTTAGTTTCAAGCATCTTCTTTCCTCAGTCTCAAGGGTAGCTGTGACTGTAAGTGTGTACCACCAGTTCCAGCTCTCCATTTTATAATAACAAATACAAAAACACTACACGTATAAATTTAAAAATAAAAATGTCAGTATTATCACAAAAAGTGGTCTGGAAAATATATAACAAATGACTGACAGTAGGCTTTCTCCAGGGGAAAAAAATCCTAGATTGGGAAGGCAGAATTAGGGGATGGATATGGACTATGGTTCAGGTAGCTGATGGCATTGCTGAAAAAATTTTAAACAAGCATTTAAAATTATTAAGGAAGAGCCAGGTGTCGTGGCTCACGGCTGTAATCCTAGCTACTCAGAAGTCTGAGATCTGAAGATCATGGTTCAAAGCCAGCTGGGGCAATAAAGTCCGGGAGACTCTTATCTCTAATTAACCACCAGAAAACCGGAAGTGGTACTGTGGCTCAAGTGGTAGAGCACTCATCTTGAGCTGAAGAGCTGAGGGACAGCGCCCAGGCCCAGAGTTCAAGCCCCACGACCACCCCCCCAAAAAAAAAAAATTATAAGGAAGAAAACTAAAAGGCAAAGATGTGGTGTGGGAGCAACCAGTCTAATCCTGTAATTTATATCTCTTGCCAGATAAGAAAGAGAAACAGAAGTAAGGAAGCCTAAAGAATTGTCAAGCCAAATCCCTACCTGGTGTGGGGCTCCGGCAGGTATGAAGACAGCATCACCTAGGAACTGTACAATGGCCCAGCCTTGTACTCCATACTCATCATAGAGTCGCTTACGTAGGGTCTGATCCAGGTACCAACTTTGGTCATGAATTGGGTCATGATCAGGGGGATTCTCTTGGCCTTGCTCTTCTCCAACCTGAAGCCATGACCAAAATCCAAGAATGAAAAATTAACACAGAAGTCCTTCCTTATTCACAGTTTTAATTTCTGTAGTTTCAGATATCTATAGTCAATTGAAGTATGGTATTATTAAACAGAAAAGTCCAGAAATAATTTTTTTTTTTTTTTGGTTGGCCGTGGGGCTTGAACTCTGGGCCGGGGCGCTGTTCCTCAGCTCTTCAGTTCAAGGCGAGCGCTCTACCACTTGAGCTACAGCGCCGCTTCCAGTTTTCTGGTGGTTTATTGGAGATAGGAATCTCATGGTCTCTCCTGCCCAGGCTGGCTTTGAACCACGATCCTCAGATCTCAGCCTCCTGAGTAGCTAGGATTACAGGCGTGAGCATTAAGTAGCATGATGAACTCTCAGACTCCATCTTACCATGGATGTTAATCATCTCCTGCCTATGTTCCTTTTTTTTTTTTGTCAGTTGTGGGGCTTGAACTCGGGGCTTGGGCACTGTCCCTGCACTCTTCAGCTCAAGAAGAGTGCTCTTCCACTTGAGCCACAGCACCACTTCTGGTTTTTCGAGTGGCTTATTGGAGATAAGAGTCTCATGGACTTTCCTGCCCTGGCTGGCCTTGAACTGCTATCCTCAGATCTCAGCCTCCTGAGTGGCTAGGATTACAGGCGTGAGTCACTGGCGCCAGGCTTGCCTACCTTCCTGTTTATCATAATGTTAGTTACCTACTAGCTGTTTCAATTCAAACTGACTGCTGAAGTTTCACAGTGCTGTGTCCAATAACCTTTATTTAACTTAATAATGGCCCAAAGTACAAAAGTAATGATAACAACTCAAATATGACAAAGATAAAAAGTTTTTTTTCCCCCCTGGTAGTGGGGTGTGAACTCTGGGCGTGGGCACTGTCCCTCAGCTCTTCATCACAAGGCTAGTGCTCTTCCACTTGAGCCACAGCACTACTTCTGGCTTTTTCCTTATGTGGTACTGAGGAATCAAACCCAGGGCCTCATGAATGTAAGGCAAGCACTCTATCACTGAGCCACCTTCCCAGCCCCTAAAGTTTGTTCTTTAAATTAGAAGATACTGTGACAGGAGGAAGGAAAAGAGGGGAAAGAGAGCATTACTATAGATGAAACTTTCTCTCTCTTTCTCTCCTTCCTTTTCTCTTTTTTTTCCCTCTTTCTTTTTCTTTTTTTCTTGGGTCCGGTCATGGGGCCTGAACTCTGGGGCTGGGCTGTCCCTCAGCTTTTCAGCTCAAGGCTAGTGCTCTACCACTTGAGCCACAGCGCCACTTCCGGCATTTTTCTGTTTGCTTATGTGGTACTGAGGAATCGAACCCAGGGCCTCATGAATGCAAGGCAAGTGCTCTGCCACTGAGCCACCGTCCCAGACCCTCTCTCTCTTTCTATTTCTTTCCCTCCCTCCCTCCCTCCCTCCTTCCTTTCCTCCCTCCCCCTCACCCCACCTCCCTCCCTTCCTTTTCTTTCTGTCATGGGGCTTGAACTCTGGGCCTGACCGCTGTCCCTCAGCTCTTCAGCTCAAGGCCAGCGTTCTACCACTTTCAGTTTTCTGAGTGGTTTATTGGAGATGAGTCTCACGGACTTTCCTGCCCAGCTGGCTTTGAACTGGGATCCTCAGATACCAGGCATGAGCCACTGACACCTGGCTCTTTTTTCTTTCTTTCTTTCTTTGCTCAAGGCTAGTACTCTAACACTTGAGCCATAGTTCCACTTCCAGTTTTTTTTTTGTTAATTGCAGATAAGAACCTTATGGACTTTCCTGCTGGGGCTGGCTTTGAACCAAGATGCTTAGATCTTGGCCTCCTAAGTAGCTAGGAATATAGGCATGAGCCACTAGTGCCTGACCACTTCCAGCTTTTTATGGGCTAACTGGAGATAAGAGTCTCTCAGATTTGTCTGCCTGTATTGGCTTTGAATCTTGAGCCTCAGAACTCAGATTTCAGATCCTGAGTAGCTAGGATTACAGGCATGAGCCACTGGTGCCAGGCTGTGCTACTCTTGTTTTTGAGACAAGGTCTCCCAGTTCAGGCTATCCTTAAACTCAAGATCCTCTTGCCTCTCTCCTCAGTGCTAGTATAAGCACCAACAGATCTGTAAAAATCAGAGTCCACATGAGATAATCTGTATATATCTCAGCCTCCAGACCCTTAACCTACAAGCTAGGAACACAGCCCACCTAGACCCATACCTTTCGGAGAAGCTCCCGGATCTTCTCTGCATCCTTGGCTGCATAGATGTGCCACAAAGCACCTGGCTTCTCTTTTCCATCATGAATCCTTTGCTTTGTCACCTCATCAGCATCTCCCTCATCAATTGTCTTGAGTACCTCTGGAAAGGCACAAAATAACAATTTCAATGAAATTAGTCATTTCAGTACTTCTTTTTTTTTTTTGTCGCTCGTGGGGCCTGAACTCTGGGCCTGGATGCTGTCACTCAGCTCTTCAGCTCAAGGCTAGTGCTCTACCACCTGAGCCACAGCACCACTTCCAGCTTTTTCTGCTTATGTGGTACTGAGGAATGGAACCTAGGGGCCTCATGCATGGAAGGCAAGCACTCTACCACTGAGCCACCTTCTCAGCCCTCATTTCAGTACTTCTTTTTTTGGGTCCGGTCATGGGGCCTGAACTCTGGGCCTGGGCGCTGTCCCTCAGCTCTTCAGCTCAAAGCTAGCGCTCTACCACTGAGCCACAGTGCCACTTATGGCTTTTTTCTTTTTGGTTATATGGTGCTGAGGAATGGAACCCAGGGCCTCATGCATGCAAGGCAAGCGCTCTACCACTGAGCCACCTTCCCAGCCCCTCATTTCAGTACTTCTGAGAAAAGCATAATGTCTACTTCAAGTTTGGTTTCTATTTTTCTTCATTTCTTGATAGAGTATTATCACAAAGAATTAAAATTCAGGCTATAGGCATGGCTCAAATTATTTTTTTTTGTATTTTATTTATTTTTATTTTTTTTCCAGTTTAAAATTCTTTTTAATTGTGAAAATATTGTACAGAGGAGTTACAATTACATGGGCAAGATAATGAGTACATTTCTTTTTTTTTTTTAATTGTGAAAATACTGTACAGAAGGGGCATGGCTCAAATTATAAGAGTGTTTTCCTGACAGCCAGGGCCCTGAGTTCAAACTCCGGTATTGAAGAAACAAATGATCACAATTCATATTGGTCTAATCTCCCTCCAAACAGAATAATAGTAAACCTTCCTTAACTTTCCTTACTTAACAGGAACTCAAGGGCTGAGAAGGTGGCTCAGTGGTAGAGTGCTTGCCTTGCATGCATGAGGCCCTGGGTTCGATTCCTCAGCACCACACAAGCAGAAAGAAGGAAGTGGTGCTGTGGCTTAAGTGGTAGAGCACTAGCCTTGAGCTGAAGAGCTGAGGGACAGCGCCCAGGCCCAGAGTTCAGGCCCCACGACCAGACCCTGCCCCCCCCCCAAAAAAAAAAAAAAGAATGAGGAAATAAGGACTTAACAGGAACTCAGCCTTCTGGGATATATAGTTTTGTCCTTTTTTTGTTGTTGTTGTTTTGGATGGTGGAAGAGGAGGAATGGAAGCATAAAAGGCTTTCACTGTGTAGCACAGGTTGACCTAAAACTTCTGATCTCCTTTTGTACTGCCCCTTAGTGCCTGGATGACAAGTATGCATATCTGGCTTTAAGGCACTTTTGTGGGTCAAACTATATACCTGTTATATTTAACTTTCAGGTTATTTCAATATCACCATCTAATTTTTGTGTTGGTCCTCGGGCTTAAACTCAGGGCCTGGACGCTGTCCCTGAACTTTTGTGCTCAAGGCTAGTACTCTACCACTTTGAGCCACAGTTCCACTTGTGGCTTTTTGGTAATTAATTGGAGATGTCTCATGGATTTTCCTACCTGGGCTGGCTTTGAATTACAATCCTCATATTTCAGCCTCCTGAAAAGCTAGGATTACAGGTGTGAGCCACTGGTACCCAATTTGTAATTTTTTTTTATTAGCATACATTAGTTGTACAAGTGGAATTTCATTGGGACCTTTCTTTTCTTTTCTTTTTTTTTTTTTTTTGTTGTTGGTCATGGGGCTTGAACTAGGCCTAGGCACTGTCCCTCAGTTCTTCAGCTCAAGGTGAGTACTCTACCGCTTGAGCCACAGCACCACTTCCAGTTTTCTAGTGGTTTATTAGAGATAAGAGTCTCATGGACTTTCCTACCCTGGCTGGTTTTGAACTGTGATCCTCAGATTTTAGCCTCTTGAGTAGCTAGGATTACAGGCATAAGCCACCAGCACCTGGCTTCATTGTGACCTCTCTATACATGTATACAATGTACCTCATAAGCCTCCCTTCATCAACCTGTTTCATCCTGCTTTCCTCCTCCTTAGAACATTTTCAACTGGTTTCATTGTTTCCTTTTCATAATTCATATTCGCCCTCATTCACTCTCTAGTAAACTCAGGGCCTTGAGCTCTGTTGGATTTTTTGTTCCTGGCTGGTATTCTACCACTGAGCCATACGTTCACTTTCAGCATTTTTGCTGGTTAACTGAAAATAAGAGTCTTTTAGATTTGTCTGTCTGGTGACTCTTGATTCTCAGATCTCAGCCTTCTGAGTGCCTAGGATTACAGGTATGAGTCATCAGTACCCAGCTAACCATGGTATTGTATGTATGTGTGTGTGTGCCCTGTGGCTTGAACTCAGAGCCTAGGCATTGTCCCTGGTCCTGACAGGGACCATGCAAATAACTGTGTAATTTTGCATGTAACTTGCAGATTATTAAGAAATAAGATTTGCAAGTAAATGGAGTCTATGTATATTCTCAAGACGTCTTGCATTGTGTGGATTTGTCAAAATCTCAGAGCTTTTCTGGCAATTTTGGAAAGTTGACTTTTAATGAAGGTCTATTATAATTCCCTAAAATATAATGGAAAGGTTTATAAGTACATAGCATCAAAAACAAAGGTTAGCTGGATACCAATGGCTTATATCTAATAATCCTAGCTATGCAAGAGGCTGAGAACTGAGGATCAATGTCCAAAGCCAGCCTGAGCAAATAAATCTAAAATACTCTTAAACCAGCTAAAACCCAGAAGTGGAGGTTTGGCTCAAGTGGTTAAGAGTACCAGCCTTCAGCAGGGTACCAGTGGCTCATGCCTATAATTCTAGCTACTCAGGAGGCTAAGATCTGAGGATCATGGTTCAAAGCCAGCCAGGCAGGAAACTTCGTGAGACTACTATCTCCAATTAAGCACCAGAAAACAAGAAATGAAGCTGTGGCTCAAATGAGAGCTAAAGAGGTGAGGGACAGTGCCCAGGCAGAGTTCAAGCCTCATAACTGACCAAAACAAAAACAAACAAACAGAAAATCAGCTCAAGGTGAGCGCTCTACCACCTGAGCCACAGCGCCATTTCCTGTTTTCTGGTGGTTTCATGGACTTTCCTGCCCCACTAGCTTTGAACCACAATCCTCAGATCTAAACCTCCTGAGTAGCTGGGATTACAGGCGTGAGCCAGTCCTGGGTTGAACTCTGGGCCTGGACACTGTCCCTGAGCCTCTTTTGCTCAAGGCTAGCACTCTACCACTTGAGCCACAGTGCCACTTCCAGCCTTTTCTGTTTATGTGGTACTGAGGAATTGAACCCAGGGCTTCATTCATGCACTCTACCACTAAGCCACATTCCCAGCAAGAGTATCAGCCTTAAGTGAAAATAGCTAAACTAGGGATACAGGTGGACCCATTGCAACAATGAGATGTACAAGTCG